AGCGATTCCCTTCCTTCGGGTGGGACCGGGCGGCTACTGCGGCCGTCTGTTCCGTCGCCGCGGGTGGCTTGAGTGGCGGCGTCTCGTTCCCGCCGGCGGCCGGCTCTGCACTCTGTGACAGCGCCGACTGTGACCCCAACGCATGGACCATCAGCCTCAAGCCAAACGTTCCCTATACCGTCGTCGCCCAGGTCGGCCACCCCTGCGCTCCCGACGGCGACGCTGCCTACCGGTATGACCTCCAGGCCAACGGAGTTACTGTCGTCGCAGGCAAAGCCCTGAAACAAGGTGAAGCCTACTTCGGGACCGCAACCAACGTCAAGGCTGACAAAAACGGGCTCATCAAACTCACCAGCAACTGCTCCAAGGGCGACTGCGCCACCGCACTCACCACGCTCCTCCAAGTCAAGATCACAGAAACCTCAAAACCCGTTGTCTATCAATAGCTAGCTAGAACTGTCTAGAACTGCACAAATTGTCCCGAATAGTGGTCTTTCGGAACGAATATATCCTGAGTGGTTGTCAGGCCTTTTCAGGCTCAGGATTGTCTGTTATTTGACGGCGCACACGCGTGTGCTGTGCTCAAATTGCCGAAATTCAATGCGGAAAGTAGCCGTGCTGGCTGCGGCACTGGCTGCCAACATGGCGCAAGCCTCGACGCAAGACTTGTGGGACCGAAAAGTGTACTTTGACTTGGTGGAGTCGCTGCTCTATGACCCAGAGTCCTCGACCTCGACGCCCGCACCGGCCAGCACCGGCAAGAGTAAATTCCTTTTTTCCAAACCGGTCGCTTTGAAACCAAAGCAAGCACTCGAAGCGCTCGTGCCGCCCGAAATAGTCGCCGCGTTGTCCTCCGAGGTGGGTAAGGCCATGGAAGACGTAGTCCACCTTTTTCTCCCCTGTAAGTTCCGCGCAGAATTCTCTCACGCCCACGGCCCACTTCGCCCCCCCCCCGAAGGTCGATTCCCCCCAGGGGGTTCCGATCCACCGAATTCTCTTCAGCCTACCAAAGCGATTTCTCCTTTGAACGGCCCATGGCGGCATTTAGGAAGACAATCAAGGCGACTGAGCCCGTGGACTTCATCCGCTTATCCGTACGGAGCCCTGTGACCTCCAGCGCCGACCAATCGACCGACGTGGCCCAGGTCGCCCGGGGCAGTGGACGTCTGACCCGGTAGTTGACTCCATCCTCTCTGACTCGTTCCTCCACGGTCTCTGATCGGTGTCTCCCTCTTCCGAGGTCTCCCTCTCCGTTCCATTCAGCCCCGTCCCGGCGTCAGTCCCGTCCCGGCGTCAGTCCGTCTCCCAATTTGTTGGCTGATTGGTTAAACATCGGGAAGGGCGTCCGAAGTTCTCCAAGCTCCGAGCTTGCTGTAGAGCCTCGCCAGCCGATTGGAGACGGCTTCCTCCATTTCCATGTTGGTCGTCGTCGCCTCGCAATTTCCAATTAGACGGGCCTAACTTTTTCCAACCAATTTGGTCCATGCTGGTCGCAGACCGACTACTCACTGGCCTCGTATTCGCTCTTCGGGAACCGTCTACCGGTGCAGGGATCAAGCCCGCTGCACTAGGCGTCGTGGTCGGTCGCTTCGGCCTAATCAGATTGTGTCCGTGGTTAGTGATCGGTGCGTCCGTACGGTGCGTCCGTACGGTGCGTCCGTACGGTGTGTTAGTGGTGCTCCTTCCTTACCGGTCAGGTGCTCGACAGTTCTCTTTCTGCCGTTCAAGAAATAGCGCTGCCTGCGATTGCCGTAATAAGATTTTGTACTCCTACAATAACATGAACATTTAACATGACCATTTAACATGAATATTTAACATATTCATGTTGACATATTCATGTTGACATATTTGTGTGTGTGTGTGTGGCCACACGTTTAGATGTGTGTAGGGGTGTGTGTAAGGCTCACGTTGATTTGTGATTTTTGTTGTTGAATTTTGAGGAGGAGGCATCCCATTTTGTAGGCTAGAGTGGTTTTAAGTTCTGTGGTACCAGGTCTTAATTGTGGGTCAGTGGTGAGCATCCATTTGATAAGGCTGAATAGTTCTTTGTTATAGAAGCGTGGTAATGGTTTGATATGTGAAGGGTGTACGACTAGATTTTTAAGGTTGTTCATATTGACGGCTTCATGAAAGGGTGAGGCTCCGGTAAGCATTTCATAGAGGACACATCCTAGGCTCCAGATATCGCATTTGCTATCGTAGGTATTTTTTGTAAGTACTTCAGGTGCCATGTAATAAGGAGTGCCAACGTGTGTGTGTGCGAGTGCTTGTGGTGAGTTGAGTGTTTTGGCTAGTCCAAAATCTCCAAGTTTGACGGTTTGATATTCATTTGTCATCAGAATGTTTTGTGGCTTTACATCACGATGAAATACTCGACCACCATTTGCTCTGTGGTGACAATAATCGAGAGCACTTACTAATTGACAGAACCATGTCAAGATAACTTCTTCTGTCAGGTAACTCTTTTTTCGAACTGTATGATCTAAATAAGTCGCCAAATCACCACCATCACAGTATTCCATTAATATATATATCTTGCTTTCACTCTGTAGACGACCAATATAACGGACAATGTAATCATGATCTAACTCTTCCAGTAATTCAATCTCACATTGTAATTGACGACGCTCACTCTGTCCCATACAACGATAATTCAACTCTTTCCATACACATACAGCTCCTGTCGACTTGTTACGAACCTTAACCACCGTCCCGAACTGACCGCGACCTATCTCACCCAAAATCTACAAGTCTATCTACATACCAATGTAAGTCTATCACAACATAGGCACGCACAACATAGGCAGGCACAACATAGGACGTGTACGGTACGGTAAAGAACGTGTACGGTAAAGAACGTGTGGGTGTGTGCAGACAAAGATGATGCTAGTGTCGCTAACCTCATAGGCGCCAATCCCCATTTTTGAAAAAGTCTAAGCGTTGACATTCCTCCACCAGGACGGCGGCAAACTCCGAAAACTTGGGGCTTCCGAGCAAAGCCGCTTGCAGCTTCGCTGCTGGGTTGGGCGCCGTCACGACTGAGCGAATGATCAATTTTAGCTCTTCATCCACCTCCAATAACCCGCGCACCGTCTGCCGTGTGCTCAACTCACGCATCGCCTCCAACATTGCAGCAGACGTCCGCGTTGGCACGGCCGTCACCGCACAGTCATTCGCAGAATCACCTTGGCCATTCACACATACAGTTCTTTCGTTCGCACCGGCTTGTGCACCGGCTTGTGCACCCGCTTGTGGACCGGCTTGTGCACCGGCTTGTGGACCGGCTTGCGCGCCGGCTTGTGCACCGGCTTGTGGGTCTGTGCCTGCTTGTACGTTTTCCAGCTGCTCCACTTGGTTGCTCGGTTTTCGATGAAGTGTCTCCGGAGAGTCGGTCGTGCGATCTGCGCAATAAGTGTGTTCTTTGCCACAGAGCGCGCTGCAGAAGGGGCGCTGACAACACTTGAAGCGGTAACGTGGGTCGGGGGTGTTACAGACGCTGCATGGCTGTCGCGGCTTCTCTTCCTCCGTGCGCCGCGGCATATATAAATTGGATTAGAATGCAGACCCGGGCTGTGGACTTGACTAGAGTCGCTCCGCGTCGCCGGCAGGCTCGCCGCGACCATGACCACCAGCGAGGCAACCCGGGTCGCCAGGAACGTGGCTCAGAGCGGGGTGAAGACGTAGGAGGTCGGCAGGACGCAGGTGGTCGCGACGGGAGTCACGACCACGGTGGTGACCAGCAGCATCGCGACCACGGACGCGGTCGAGGTGGTGGTGGTCGTGTGCCGGTTGCCCCGCCGCAGTCATTTGAGTCAGAGGTGCGTGCGTTGATCCCGGCGGAGGGCGGAGTGTCGAAGGAGTGTCAATTTTGTTTTCATGACCACATGGGTTGCACGGCTGTAACGCAGTGTACACATACCGGGACGTGGTGTTGGGTATGTCAGCTCAAGTTGGCACGACTGCACGACGCAGCGGACAAGAAGAAGGGACACACCACGGAACCCAAGTGCAGACACTGTCAGGAAACACTTGCGCAGGTCTTCCTTTCCCGCACACTACTCTCGTGCATGGAACTCGGCAGCGGCGAGGCGCTCCCACGAGTCTCCGAAGCACACGCCTTCTGCTGCGATTCACTTGTCCTCCAAGCCGTCAAGGAAGCAACTGAATGGCGCTGCTGGGTCCCCGGATGCAATAGACTTCTCCTACGCACGGAAGGCGCCTGGCGCTCACATCTCTACAGCAAACACAAAAAGAAGATCTGTGAGACCTGCTTTCAAGCAAAGAAAAATGAAGCCTGGCCATTCCAACATAGGCTTTACGATCCCGCTGACCTTAATAGACATCGCAAATACGGAGACGAACAAGGGATCCCACACGTTCGCTGTCCCGCTTGCGGCCTCTGGTGCTTCGACGAAGAAGCCTTCTTCAAGTAAGAGTTCCCCCCTCCCCCCACAGTGTTGTTTCAGCCACTGGACGAAGTCAAATGACCACGTGGACTGCCAGTTTTGTCAACGGCAGGGAAAGACGGATTCGGTTTTTGCTTCGTTCGAGGCATTGCAGAAGCATTATTTGGATCAACACTATGTGTGTCCAGAGTGCACGGAGGAGTCGTTAACGGTTTTTGGGGATCATTTGTCGCTTGTTCGACACCAGGCTGTTGCGCACGCCCGGCACAGCCGGAGCAAGGCGGTGATGTCGTTGGACCAGTTGCGTGAGGAGGTACCGGAGCCGGCAGTGGCGGCGACGGGCCTAAACCACAGTCCTCTGATGGACTGGGGCATGGCAACGCGTCTATGGCCAGTTCCGATGATCGCCACTTCGGACTTGATACTTAATAGATTGCGGGAGGCGGGACAACGGGATGGTGGACAGCGTGAAACAAGTCAGACCAGCGAGAGGACGAGAGTGGCAGTCTACGACGACTTGTTCAACACGGGACTTAATGCGCTTTGTGGTCGACCTCTAGCGGATGAGTTCCGCACAACTTCGCTGGCTTACCTACAGGGCACGGGAGGCACGGCGAATCAGCTACTCAGCGAGCTTGCACACTTGGTATGGACTGGCTACTGGCAGTTCTCGGCCGCTTGGCAGAGTGCACATGCCATTGCTGATATTACAACCAGCCTTGGTGAGGTTCAAAATCAAGTTCGAGAGAACATTTGGGCAGACCAAAAACTCGGCGAAAATCGAGATAAATATTGGATCAAAATATTGGACACAAAGAATGGCAAGCAATTCGTAACCAACCACTCCATTCCTTGCGAAATGGTCGTCTATTTCATCATCCATATACCCGACCAGTATAGCTCGCAGCGACTTGCCCTTGTGGACGCCCTTGTCGACGTTGCGAAACACGCCGCTGACGCCAAGAAGAAGCTAACTTTCAAGGAAAATCGGCCCGCCGTGCAGCCACTCGCCGAACAGGAAGAGGAAGAGCAGGAAGAGGAGGAGCCGGACGCTGCACCCCGGGACGCCAATGGCTACCGCGAGCGTGCGATTCTGCGAACCTGTAAGACGTTGCCAGTCTCCAGTAACCTGCCATTCGTCACCGCCGCACTCTGGGCGATTAAGGAGTTTCTGACTCGCTGTGGCCACAACGCCGTCTCGTCACGCTGCGCCAGTGGTGCAGGAGTCGGGGGCGCAGCTTCCGAGCTCGAGGCCGCTGGTTCGAGCCCCGGCGGCCCGGAGTTCCGCGCCCTCCCACTCAAACTCGCCACCGCCATGTCCGCTACCAGGACCAAGTTGGAGTTAGAAAATTGCTCGAAAATTGCACAGGATCTCACCGACCTTGTCGCCGGCCCCGATCTGGAGGCGTTCATGGCGCTACGGCCGCGTTACGCGGCGCTCCGCAACCAGGAACCGCTGGCGGACTCGTCGGTGGCGGGAGGGAATGCTCGGCCGGGCGGTCAGCCGGTTTCGAACGCACGACCGCACACGCGTACCGGGCCGCGGAGTATGCGCGATTTTTGGACGCTACAGGCGCGGCTTTCTCAGAAGTGGGGCGGTATTGTGGAGCAGACGTTGCGGAAGGTGCCGGTTCAGTCTGTGTGGCTATTGAAAGAGTACTGCCGCGTGAGCGAGCAACTTGTTCCGCATGCGATCGGTTGGATCCCGGAATTAGTTGTGGGCGTACCGGACAAGGTGTTGTCGAGTCCCACTGGGTCGCGTGCGGGGCTCGAACCGGCGACCTCGCCCGAGCCCATCGCGCGGGGACCGCCGCCACGATTGGACGGACCGCCGTTGGGTTCTGCGACCGGCGGCCTGGTGGGGTACAACACCTGGACCCACACCACGTTCCGCCCCTCGGCGACGGAAGAGGACTACCCCTCGCTTCCCGAAGGTCCGCCGCCCGGGCTCGCCTCGCCGTCGCCGCCTCCGCCGCGACGCACAGGCATCAGCATGGGCCCGTCTCGAACGGCCGCTGCCCAACCCCGAGGAGGGGGCGTCGCCGGGACTCGAACCGGCGTCCCCGCCACGTCCAGACCCGATTGGCCCAACAGGCACACATATGCCGCCGAGCAAGACTGTCCTCGCTGCGGCCTCTCCGTGGACTTTGACATCGAGGTCTGTCCCGCTTGTCGAACCCGCCTCGTCTTCACTACCGCCCAACGCGCCGAAGTACTGAATTCGGACTACCCGTCCCTCCCAACCCAACCACCCCCCGCTCTCAATCACAACTGGCGGCAAGGACCCCGCAATGGCGCCCAGCGCCTAGCAAACACGTTTACCGGCCGCTCCGGCCCACCAAAAAGATTCTAACGAGAAATGCCACAAACTGAGTCTCGGCTATGCCATGAATTGAACGGCGAATTGAGTACGCCATTCCTTCAGAGTCATCCGCTGCTGCCCCACGTTCCTTTTCTCCTTCAAAACTAAACTCTGCAACCGAAGCATTTGTCGCCCGTGTGTGTAACGCACGCCTGTGTGTGTAACGCACGCCTGTGTGTGTAACGCACGCCTGTGTGTGTATGAAACGATTAGTTACGCCACTTGTGCATGTAGGTCTGTGCGTGCACAGGTGTCGAGGACTTACCAGTTCCGTTTCGATGGGTTCTACTTTATAGGTACACACGTCTCCATTCTCGAAGGCGACTTGGACGGCATCTTCTTGGTCCGGGAGAGTGCGCATGGTGAGGGCGGGCGAGAAGACGGCGATTTCGGCGACTAGAGTCGTGTTGGCGACCGTGCGTTTGCCTTCGCCGGGGAGGACGCCCACGACCTGGAGGGAGCAGACTTTGCGTTCTGCACCGAGGCAGCCGGCGAGTACGATCATGTTAAGCGAGGAGAGCGCAGCCGCTGCCGTGACACGGAACATGTTTGGGTAACCTTGTACCAACGTGCCCGCAGCCGTGTTGAACCGACTCCAGGTGTGCGCCGGACGCACGTCCAGACACGTCACAACCGGACTAGTGGTGATATAGCTGGTGTTATCACCACAAGCGGTGGCATCGTCGTCGACTCGAAGGAGGCGTATGGAAGCGTCATGTCCGGTGCAGCGAGTAGAGCAGCGATGGCTGAGGCAGAGTTGCGGGCGAAGTCTCTGTTTCTTGGCGCCCTGTACCACATCAAGTTGGAGCGTTTCACAGTTCTGATTGCGGAGGAGTGTGTGGACACTGGTGTCGCCAACACTTTGTTGCCAACGTGCGAGACTAAAGCGTTGTGGGTAGAGGACCGGGATAGGTGGACCGGCACGGACGAGGCGGGCGGCGGCAGTGGCGGTGTCGACCAAGTAAATTTTGTTCGTCGCAGTGGTGGCGAGAACCCGGTTGCGAAGACGGTCATGGTCGAAAGGCGTAGCGAGGAGTGCGGAAGGGGCAGTAGTGAGATGCAGCAAAGGTCCGTCGGGTAGCAGCCAACTACGCCGTTGCGCGGCCGCAGCCGCCGTCAAGTCCCAGGCAACCAGACGTGACTGTTCGCCACCAGCCAGTGTCTCCCCACCCGTGTAATTCCACGCCAACGCACATACCGGCGCATTGTGCCAATGTGAACGGGTCTTCTGCACCACAACGAACAGCGGTGCACTCTTCGCGCATCCGACAACTGCACCGCGCGCACCACTCACCTCCCACCAGTGCAATGCACCCCACGAATCACACACACACACTCGTGCACCCGTCGCATCCACCGCCACCGCCTCCACCTCCCGCTCCAGACTCGGGTCTGTTAACTCCACCACCGTTAGCGACGTGGCCGTCTTGGTCCCCGTTGTGATTGTGGTCGCGGCCCCGGTTGTGCTTGACCCGGCGAAGCCGCTCAGTCGGAAGAGGTGCACTTTGCGCTCATACACCTTCTCCGAGCGCTTGCGCTTCCCCGGCTGCCGCAGCGTCGGCTTGTGCCGCATGGAGAGGACTGCCAGGCTGTCGCAGTTCATCGACGTCTGAACCGGGAAGTAGCCGTCATCCAACGTGCAAGTCGAGGCCTGGCTGTCGAGTAACTCGCGGAACTGGGGCGACAGAAGGGACTGCGCATCCACTACCAACATCTGCAACGCATTCTGCTTCAAATCCGCACTGGACGCAACCGCCTGGCTCGCCGTTGGGCTCTGGTACCACAAACAAAAATGGTGCGCGGCGTTACTGCACAAGTCGACGAACCGTGTCTTGGTTTCGAACGCGGGTCCACTCGATTCCGAGCTCGTTAAGTTTATCGACTCATCTTTAAGCAGTTTATGAAACTCGCACTTCATGTCCGTAATGATGACCGCAATCTGCGACTCAGAAATGGCAACGACGAGCTGTAGCTTGGCGGTTTCTTCGCGATGCTCAGCAGGCACGTGCGCAAGTCCCCACTCCGGTACTATGGGCGAGACGGCGATAGCCAGTACATCACTGGAGAATTTATGGAGACATTCACTTCTCGCCGCCGATAAGTCGTTTGCGGCACTCCACACTTCCAACTCTCCGCTGCTCTCTCCTTTGGTTTGAGATATATGTTTCAACTGTTGATAATACAGGTCTTTTCCTTGAGCCAAAAAGAACCCACGGCCACTCACCGAGAACCGGGGTCGGCAGATGTACACAGCCTCGCTCATTTCACACAAAAAAAATCGCCGCCGCCCCAACTATGCGGCCACCACACGAGCAGTCACCTGAGTGCCCAGATCCTTGTCGATGACCAGTTGCAGCGTACCATACGAGTTCTTGTTGCACAACTGGCTGTGGTGGAACTTGTGGTACACACCCACGGCGTTATTGGTCAGTGAGCCCTGCAGTTTGCTTACTCCCCTAAAGAGAAAGAAAGAATATACGTGCGAGAAAGAACACGCAGCCACGGCGTGTGCGCACACAGTGTGTGTACACGCGTGGTGGGTGGCATACTTGTGTTGTTTGACAGCGATAGGACCGGCTGTGATTTGTTTAAGGGTGCCACGGTTGCCTGCATATCGAGAGTCAGTGATGATGGTGACTCCTCCGTTGACAGGGTTGCCGCACATGAGCACGACCTCACGGGAATCTTTTCTGTGTTTCCAGTCGTTGAGTTTGCTGAGTAGGAGACTGGCTTCATCCACGCCATCTGCGCATGCCCATGTGGCAAGGAGTTCCATCTGGCGTTCGACGGATCCGGTCAGCCAGACGCTTTCCGGTGCCAGTACGATGGGTGTGACACTAGCGACGACAATAGTGCGACATAAGGATAGGTAGCCGCTTTCGGAGAGTGCATAGTCTATGTCAGCCCATTGGCGGTAACCAAGGAATGGTGTTTCATGCACATGCTTGCTAGACCTGTGGAAGAGGGGTTGTGCCTTGCAATCAAGAAGCATGAATCCAACATCCCCGAATGCATGGAAATGATACGCCTGTCCGATCATGATTTCGCCACCTTGCCCGTCTCCGACCTCTTCAAACAATGCGCGGAAATATTCGTTATAAACTTTGTATGCACACGCGTGCACGAAATTGCGCGGCTTGTCCGCATCGTCGTCCATGCACAAACCAAGTTCCATGTCACCTGGGAGCGAAAGACAGGGCACATTGGCTAAGACGTGACGCAGTGTGGGATGAGTAAGTGTATCGCGATAAACATTCCGGAACATCTCCAGCACCTTGTCCTCGACGTCTCCGAACTGAGAAGGACTCAGATCCTCCACCAACTCAAGCCCGTCCAAAAACGCGGCATCATTCTCCTCCGTCGGCAGACGCCCCTCCTTGGTCTCCACGTAGTCCGAGCTGTCTACGTACACAAGGTTGCCCAGCAACAGTAGATAATCGAACTTGCCGGCGACTGAATCGCCTAGAGTAGTAGAATTCGCGGCGCCGTAACCGTCATTGCCGCGACTCGAACCCGCGCCCATCGCGTTGTAAGCCGAGCCAGAAACGGAGCCCTGGGTGGAACCGACGCCGTCTTCAACGGTCCCCCGGGGACGTGTGCAACAACCTCCTTTCCCCGCCTTGGCCGTGCCCGCCTTGTGGTCCTTGTAAAGCGTGCGCCACACATCTTTGCCGCTGCCCGCAGCCGTGCCAGCGATGGCCCGTAGGTCATGGTTGGACACCGCAGCGATCCGAGCAGGAGCGGTAGCACTGCCCCAGTTAGGCGGCAGTGTGGTAAGGGCGGAACTCACCACCCCGGGCACGGGTATGTTGAAGGACACGCGGTACTTCGTGCCGGCTCGCAGTTCCTCGAAGACGAAGACCGCAGGTGTGTTCTTCTCGCACACCTGGCTCACCCCATGCTGGACGCCATGTGCGTCTGTCAGGAAACACTTTACCTCCACGTCCGCTGACGTCTCGATCAACACTCGCGCAATCGTCTCAGATACCATCCCAATAATCGGGCCCACACTCACAAACGGCGTAAACGGACGCTTCGGCTCATACAACAAGCTCGCGTTCGGCGGCGCACTCACCTTGTCCAACGCCTTCTGCTCGTACTCCTCCAAAATGTTCGCCGTGTCCAACTGCGCCTCAGACGAAGAGTAACTCGAACTACTTCCGGAGGACGTTGTGTACTGATCGCCACCCGCGTACGGTGGTACCGCACTCGTGTAGCCCCCAGTCCCTGGGTTGTAAGACCCAGGATTATACGCCCCAGGGTTGTAGGCCGAACCCCCCGGATTGTAGGAACCCGCTGGAGGGTTATAGGCAGCCCCGGGGTTGTAGGCAGTCCCGGGGTTGTAGGCAGAAGCAGCCCCGGGATTCGTGCCCACGAAAGGACGGTCTTCACGCTGCCGCACATGTACCGCGTTGCTCGGCATGCTGCTGGCCGACGAAGACTTCGACGACGTGTAGGACGAGGAGTACCGATCCTCCCCTTCTCCCCCGGGTACTAGACATCGACGCAACGACATTTTTATATAAAAACCAAAAACTGAAATGTGTGTCAGCCGCCACTCTCCACGTCCCCAAGACCAGCCACTCTAGCCACCCCCAGAGATCAACGCCGATCGCCCTTCTTCGGCACGCGATCTACCGACCCGCAACCCTTCAAAATTGACCTGTCGATCGCGATCCACCGATCGCGCGACCTAACCTGCCCGACCCGCTATGATGTGTGTGACGACATAGTTGCGTGACCACACATTTGGGACAATGCCTGGGACCGAGGATGATGACGATGGCCCTGCCGCAAGCAACACTAGTCCGGCGTTAACGGCGGCCGTGTACGCCGTGTTCCTGGCGTTTCTGTCACCGGCGTGGCTGATGGTGCCATGGGAAGCTTTCACAGCGTCGAGCCCGAGCGCCGAGCCGTTGGTCGCGCATTTCGTGAGTCCCAGCCACTTCGCCGGCTATTCTTCGAACTCCTTTTCCGCCAGTCCCCGGTTCGAGTCGTGGTCGCTGTCGAATGAAGGACTGAACCCTTGGTCCAAGATGGGCGGTCATTCGCAACCAGAACGGACGTCACTCGCAACCCTCGTTCGCAATCGTCTACTTACCGAACCACTCGCGGCCGGCTTCAATACCCCGCTGCTCGCCGGCTCTGGCTCTGGCTCTAACGATCATTTCAGCCCTAACGCCAACTCCAATTCCAACTCCGATCTCGACTTTGACCTACTCTCACCCGAGACCGGCGGGTCCGACCGCGGGCACGCATGGACGTTATGGAGCATGGCCGCAGGTTGCTGGATAAGTGCGATGATGCTACGACGACGGACACCAGGTTATGTTTTTTTGCGAGCGAGTTTGTTGCTCCAATTCCTGGCCACATTTGCACTGGCACTACACTATCAAGCCGACGCTCCAGTCGGATTGCCTCCAATCGGACTGTCTCCAGTGGGGTCGGGATCCCCCCAGATCGTAGCGTCTGGGGCTTTTGTATGGTTGGCATTTGCGGCGCACGCATTGTTCGTAGCTGCCAGCGAAATGTGTTTCTTCGCTCTTGTTGGATTACTCCCGCCTCCCTCGAACGCACTACCTTGCGCGTTCGCCGTGGCCCGACTCCTGGGTGCCGCGCTCATCTGCGCCTTCGCCGATCTGGGCGTCGAACCTCTCCTCGGACATACCGCACTTCTCGCAGCCAAACTCACCACCGCTCTCATGCTCTTCCGTCTGCGCAAACAAGACCAGGCGCGCGGTCGGGAGGGGGAGGGGGAGGGGGAAGCGAAGGAGGAACGGGAAGGGGAGGGGACCACGGCGGTAGGAACCAGGAAGGAGGCAGGATCGACCACGCCGGCGGAGGGGACGACCACGCCCGCGGACGAATGGAAAGACATGTCCGTGTCCAGACAGCGCACGGCCGCCACCCTCACCAAGCACGAGGCTGAGCCGCACGAGGCCATGCCGTCGCCGGCTGACGGAGAAAAACCATCATCGACGAAGCCGTCGTCGGCGATCGCCTCTGACGGCCAGGTCGCCATGGCTGGGCTTGTAGGCGCCCTCATCACCCCCGCTATGCCCTCTCTGCAGCCTCAGAACCCGCTCCTCTATCTCCTCGCCGTCCTGGTCGCACCCGTCACGGCCTGGCTCTACGGCCGCTCACCGCCTTTCGTACGCATCACCTGCTTTCTCATCCCTGTCACGCTCGTCGCCTCCGCGCCCGGCTTGTTCGTGGTCCTGAGTCCCTTTTACATGCTCGCTGGCACAGGCTGCTTATTATGTTGGCGACAAAAAGTTCGTGATCGTGCGACTCACGACCATGCGACTCACAACGGTGCGACGCACAACCGCGCGGTTCATGTACCCCGTGCGACGCACAGCAGGGCAGTGGATCGCCGGAGTGTGCGATGGTACTGGGTGGGTATGGGCGGCATAGCACTGGTGTTTGGGATGTTGCCGGTGGGGTTGGTTCGAGGTTTGTCAAACGGGTTCTCAATCTTATTTATAGGCTTGGAGTTGATTATATTTTTTTGCTGAGTCACCTTTGTGTGTCAGTCTGTCGCCCAGTGCTGCTAGCAGGTAAAATTATGGGTAATGGATACGACAGGTCCGCTAGATGTGTTTCCGGCGCGAGTGCAGCATATACCATTTTCCGAGGCGTTTACGGCGGTCAAGACGGCCTGCCAGGACGGCTCTTGGAAGACGCCGTGTGAGGAGGGGCGAATTTTGCCGTTTTACGCTGCGAGTCGGGCAAGTGAGCAGGAGGCCGTGACGTTGTGGCTGTACATTATGACTCACGTCGCGAACTACCCAACTGAGCACCTCGATGTCTACGGCCAGACGCCCATCTTTTATGCCGCCCGTGAAGGCCATCTGAACCTGCTGAAGCTCATGGCTACCGGAACCCACGTGGAGCCCAGTCTGCTCGAACAGGCGGGTGCCCAAGACCCCAAAATCCAGGCACTGGTCGACAAGCTGAAGGCTGCCGACGAGACCACCGCCGACGATTCCGACCACGACCACGGCGCCGCTAAGGCTGAACCCAAGGCCGAGACCAAGGCCGAGACGAGGAGCGAAAAGGCCAAACCCGGCGCGCTACCACTCTTCGACCCCGGCTACCTCGACAGCACGAGTCAGACCGCCTTATTCTACGCCTGTCGCGAGGGACACAACGAGATCATCCGGTACCTCGTCACCGACCGGCGCGTGCCGGTAAACCACATCGACCTCAACGGAGACACGGCCCTCTTTTACGCCGCCCGTGACAACCGGGAAGCAACTTGCAAGCTTATGGTTGAGTTCGGAGCGGACTGCGGCTTCCGCAACAAGTCCAAGTACTACGCAAGCACCGTGGCAAAAAAAATGGGGCATAAACGACTTGCCACCTACCTCGAGCAGTGTCGCAAGACGCAACCGAAGCCGCAAGCTGCGACTCACGAACGTGCGACTCACGAACGTGCGACTCATGAGCGTGCGACGCACGAGCGTGCGACTCACGAACGTGCGACGCACGAGCGTGCGACTCACCGTGAGACTCACGCTGTGGCGACCAAGGCAGCCAACACAACCAAGGCGGCAGTGGCAAGTGACAGCGAGGACGCGGCCGCCGCCTCGGCCTCCGCGTCTGCGACTTCACCGGCGACGGCGTCAGTGGAGAAGAAGCGGGCGCGGCCGCAGCGCGGAAAACGGAAACACTCGGAGGAGCAGGAGCCGGAACCGGTGCGAGCGAGTCCGAAACGGCGTGCGGTGAAGCAGCAGCCGGTGCCGGTGGCCGAGGATCGCGACTTGTGTTGTTTGCAGTTCATGAGTCCGCTCAAGACGTGGTCGCACACACCGCAGTTCAAAGTGCAGGAGTTCGAGTCGATCTTTCCTGAGCTCGCCGTCTGGGACGGTATGGGCAGCGCGGCGGCCAAGAGCCTCGAAGGAGACAACCAGCGCAGCCAATGGCACCGGCTGGCCACAGAGTAACCAGCACGTCCCCTCCCCGCGTTGCCCCGAAGCGCCAAGGCCGACTCTTCTGTAGTGTGATGCGCCATCTCTGCCACGAAGTTGAGAACGCACATTTCTTCCGCGAACCCGTCGACACCGACCGCTGGAACATCCCAGACTACCACGAGGTCGTCAAGGAACCTATGGACTTCGGGACCATACTCACCAACCTTGAAGTCGGAGTCCAGTACCTAACCATCCACGTAAGCGCACGGCCCCCCAACCCTTGGTCATCCCGGCTCTCAACCATGGTCTTCCCGGCTCGTGGGCACTCCCCCCCTAGGGGCCCTCCCCCCTAGGGGCCCTCCCCCCCCTAGGGTACTACTTTCAGAGAGTTGGTCTTGTAGGATTTCTTGCGGGACTTGAACTTGGTCTTTGATAATTGCATCCTATATAACGGAGGCGACTCCAATATTGGGAAAATCGCCCAGAGCGTGCGGGAAACGGCCTACGCCTACGCAAGGTCCATCGGTTTACAGGATTTGGCTGATAAGGAAGCAGGTGGCGGCAAGCCACGTCGTCAAGGAGGCGGCTTGACCACCAGTTGAGACCCGAGGCGGAGACCACACCTGGCGGAGTGTTTCTGCCAGGACTTTTACGAGAGGGCACTCAAGACGGGGTGCCCCGACCCGGCTTAATCGATCCGGTTTAACCACCACCCGGTTTAGCCGACACCCGCACCAGGGTATATGAGGTACCAGGGTACCTCATGAATTGAGCCCGTCATGAGAGGTGTTGTTGTCAGAGGCCTGGTTGTAATCTGGGCGCGTGATATCAGGGGGACGCGATCGCTGCACCGATGCAAAAGCAGACCATCTTGATGGTGCCCCAATAAGTTGTCCTCGGGGTCGTTGCTCGGAGGTGTTAACGGCCGGAGGGTCGAGTGAGTTGGAGACGAGCTGAGCAGCCCTGCTGGCCGCGATATAGAGGAGGACTTCGGGCATCGTTTTTAAAATTATGACAGATCGAACCCATGACTTCCGGAAATATATAGAATCGCAGCGGGCGGATTGCCAAAACCGTGCCGCGTCGGGTGCAACCCTCCGTGCGAACTCCTTGACGACGGAATCGGCGAACGGATTAAAACAGCGGAAGACGGACTGGGAGAAAGAGACGAACTCGGAGAAAGAGACGAATCGGCTGGCCGGACGGAGCCTGGGATCGAACCCGGGACATAATACGAGCAGCTCGAACACGAGCGACTTGAACCGGAGCAACTCGAACCCGAGCAGCAAGGCCGTCCGGTTGGACGTACCCCCGGATGTGACTCCAGCACGAGTGGCTCCGGGGTCAGGTCGAAGGGCGCCTGCGTTGGTGCCATACGCGGAGTCGATCCGTCAGTTGTGCAAGGCAGTGAAGCAGTTGGATCGGTTGACGCCGGCTGTTTTACGTGGGCCTGACGCATCATTGTACTACTGGTATCATGGTTTGGGCAGTGCAGTGTGTGGGGCAGCATGTGTGTGGGCGCCCGTGCGTTTGAGTGCATCTGGTGTGTGTGGGACTGGTACGTGTGCACATGGTGTGTGTGGGACTGGTAAGTGTGCACATGGTGTGTCTTTGGCGGAGTTGAAGGTGTTACTAGAGGCGGTGGAGGAGTCGGTGGAAGACGGGCGAGTCATTGACAGGTTAGTGGAGCAACGGTGCACGAGTGAGCGGCGCGGCGGGTGGCGGGGGTGGTTCGAATCCACGCCGGCCCAGCCGCCGGATTTAGTTCGTCATCGGACGGGTATGCGAGCGGCCGTCGTGGCCTTTGTGCACGAATTACGCCGAGCACTGAAGGTTTATGAACTCCAAACACTCGCCATCGAACTCGCACGTCATGATGTATTAGACGCGTGGCGTACATCCGAACTACCCAGCGACACCGACTGTGCCCTTCGGTATGCCGAGAGCACACAGCGCCTCAACCAACGCGCCGAAGCCTATGTCTACACACCTGCACTCTACAACCAAGTTATATCGGAGGTGCTCAACGACGCACAACCCACTTCCCTAGTCCGCAACGTGGTTCACAGCACGACGGGAACCACAGGAGGCCGGACTGCCCTAGACCGGACTGCCCTAGACCGGACTGCCCTGGACCGGACCGCGGGCAAGCAGCGGAGTGGCGTCACGACGACGGATGCAACTACGGCAGGTGACCAAACTACGGCGGAGGATCGTCCCGGTAGATCCGGCACCGTCGGCAGACTGGACGAGAGGGGGCTAGACGAGCGAACGGAACGGGGGTTGGATGTGACGGACACGGCGTTGCTGTCGAACCCGGACGAGCTGGAGATCATCGCACAGGCGAATCCGCAAGTGCAGCGACTGCGAGTCTTGCAGCAGCAACAGGAAATGGACGAAGACGTGGTAGTGTAAGAGCACGGGGGCTTGGGACTAGGGATCGTATCTGGGGATCGTATCTGGGGGTCGTATCTGGGGGTCGTAACCAGGAGGTGTTCCGTAGAGATATTTCGCGCAAGATCGAAAAGATCTCGGACTTGATGACCTTCTTTGTGAACACGGTGGACCAACAACAGTCTATGACTGCCAACAGTACGCTGCATCGGGGGGTACGCTGCAAACCACCTGTACACTGTGTATACACACCATTGCTTATCACACCATTACTTAATGTGTGTGTGTCGCAGTTTTGAGTATGACGGACGGCGCAGTGGGGAACGTGGCGGATGCGGAGCGTCAGTTAGCCAAGGCGTTGGGTCGTCGGTTGACTGTACGACGGTTATTGTTTGTGTTGTATTTGGGGATCGGGTTGTGCCTGTTGGGCTTAGATTTTGCCAAGAGTTGGCTGGCATAATTTTTTACTGATGTGGAAAAGGGTGTTCAAACCACGGGCTGTGGTATGCCGTTGGGAGAGTGAATGGCGGCAGTCGGGTTCGTCATTCAGTATTTCAACTACGGACTCCCAGATACCGCTTCCGCCGCTCCCTTTGGGTCTTGCGGAACCTGTCAAGACTCCAAGAAATCCAATGAACAAGATTACGGGAAATAATACGCTGTGCGACGCCCATGACAACAGGCACTCCGCGTACGGGAACTCCGCCGGCAAGATCTCCGGCCACTCTCCTTACCATTGTATCAACGACCGCAACGAACGGACTCACGATCATCATAACGAACGGACTCACGATCATCATAACGAACGGACTCACGATCATCATAACGAACGGACTCACGATCATCATAACGAACGGACTCACGATCATCATAACGAACCGACTCACGATCATCATAACGAACGGACTCACGATCATCATAACGAACGGACTCACGATCATCATAACGAACAAACCAGCGCTCGGTCCAGCGCTCGCACTCAGGGTCGCGAACGCGGAGCCGATCAGCGTCAAGATGATCGGCGCGAAGCCGAACAGCATGAAGCCGAGCACCACGGAGGAGCAGAGCACCACGGAGGAGCCGAGC